ATGTTCTTCGTAAATGCTCCAATGGAGAGTCTCTTAGCCCTAGCTTTTCCATCTTCCTTGTTCTTCTCTTCCCAAAAGTGTTATGTCACTTCTCTCATTTCTACAATCACCTCAAACAAAACAATTCTCTTTCTCCTTGTTTTTAATTAATCTAACCCTTGGACCCTTATTATCATATCCCAATTATACCCTTCCTTTCTTATAATAATTAAAATAATTATTTAATTATTATTACTAATATTATAATTCTAATATTCTAATAATAAGAATATTTAAATAACATTTCCCCTACACCCCTATGTCTCTACACTTTTGGTCATACACCTCTAATACATTAATTTCTATAGCTTCCAAGGTAATTACCCCACAACAAGGCCACATTACACATAAAATGATTCATCAACACATGTAAACAAACAACAAACACATAATTTATTTAATAAAAATAATTAAATAAATATTGGGGTGTTACAGTTGCTTCCTTCAAGGCAAGAACAACAAATTTTCACTTCACTACTCCTCTATTTGGTGGTAATCTAGAACGGTGTCCACGTGCTCGTTAGGATCTTCAGTATCGTCATAACTATAATGGTCTAGAAGGGGATTAAATAAAACTTTCCCTAAAAAATATTTTAAAATATTTTTCAAAATCAGAATTTAAAATTGCACGGAAGTCGGAGTTTTTAAAAATACACAATAGAAGAATTATGCGATTGACTCAATGTACACAAAATACAATGATACTTAAATGATGACATCGCTAGCAAACAGTATACTAACTACTCAAATTTTATTCACAACAAGATGTTCGAATAAAATTCTATTAATTGTATTAACAATGTAATATTACAAGTTTGTATATGTATAATCACTAGAAAGAATGTTTAGTAAACTAGATCTATCACAGACGTAAGCTTAAAAATTAAATCTCTATGAGCAATAAAATCTAACAACATGTGATTCTAGAAAGAGATTAAACCTAATAACATGAAAATCTACACAAAAATTAAATGAGAGAGATAAAGAAAATGTACATCGAAATTTATACTGCTTCAGTGTGTGATCCTCGCTTGCACCTAGTCTAATCTCCAATGGCACACCACTGGGAATTTTTTAGTCTTCCCCAAACTTAAAATTTTACAAAGTTTCTTTTAATACAACATATAATCGCAAACAAATTAAAAACTTAAAGCGACTACTAAGAAACACATATATCAATCTTGGATCTCCTTTTACTGTATACAACTCATTAGACTGAAAATCCTCGAAGATCCTCACTAGACCTTGAATCAGCTCACCTTCTCATAACCAAAGCACTCCAAAAATTTATCTGCAAGGATATCCACTCAATTCTACCAGAATTCTCTTGTTTGAATCTTTGAACTGCCGAAGGAACCAAAAACTCCAATATTTCGCCTGCATTGATCTTCACTCGATTCTACTAAAATTCTCTTAAAGAAGAAACTCCTAATTTTCTTCATTGCATGTCAATATCTAAAAAACCAGTCCCAATCTGATTCTTTAATATGAAACAAAATCTTCACAAGACACTAGAACACCTAATGAACCTCCTCCCACTAGATGTCACAATAAAACTTAGAGTTGAGCAACCACGCAGAACAATTGTGTTTTGGCTAGAGGTTGAAGATGGAGTTTATCAGAAAAATCTCACATAACACTTGTTTAAAACTCACGAAATCAATATTAGAATGTTATTCTTCAAGTATGAATTGAGAGAAAATTTGTACGATTGACAAAACACTCTTGGTTTTTCAAAGATTATGAAAAGTAGAGAGAGAGAGAGAGAGAGAGAGAGAGAGAGAGAGAGAGAGAGATAATTTAGTTTATATATGTGCTAGACATAATAATGCACTAAAAATGAATAAAAATGATCATTTGATTGAAGGCAAGAGCAAAAATAATGATTTAAGTCAACAGAGAGAATGACTAGAACCAAGAGAAGAAAATTATGACTTCACGAGTTTGATTCGAATCATGTGATTCGACTCTTGACTTAAATTATGTGATTCGAGTTACACCAATATATGACTCGAGTGACGTTTCCCGTTTTGAATTTCATAAAGAAAATCTATGTCATGATTCAAGCCATGACTTCCTCATGACTCGAATCAAGAAATTTACTGACTTGAATTTCATTTCCCAAATTGAAACCCAAAATGAAAAACTATGATTCGATTCAAGCAAAACTCTGACTTGAATCATTCCTGCAATGATCCCAGTCAAGCAAAACTCTAACTTGCATCATGCATGCAATGATTCGAGTCAAACATTTATCTAACTTGAATCATGCATGCAAAAGTTTTTCTATTCAAGTCGTAAACTTTTCTGACTTGAATTATGCCTACAAAAGTTTCTTATTTCAAGTCATGAACTTTTCTTACTTGAATTATGCATGCATGTGTTTCTTGATTCAAGTCGTAAACTTTATGACTTGAATCATTTTGCCTTGACTTTTGGTCAAACTTTTGTTTTACGCATTCAAAATACATTTTAATAAAAAAATACTATCTCTAAGAGATGTGCAAGACTCAATTACTACGACAATAAGTAAACAAACTAGAACCAAAACTCTAAAAGCTCAGGGATATCTAGGAGCAAGTTCTTAGGGTACCTGCAAAAATGTTAGTACTTCAACGCTCAAGTTAGTATATGAATAAAGTGGAATTTTATATGTATGAGTGAAAATGTATCAAAGTATGACCCAGAGTCACACTTATATAGTAAGGGTGGTTACAAACGTCCCCAGATTACCTAACGTGGAACGTAACCAACCATTGGATGGATATATCAACGGTCCTGGTGGAAGGAAGGATGTGCTCCTATGAAGTACTGGATTGGGATGATCTCTATGGGCCATTGGCTAGTCTGTTATAGTCATCAAATACAAACTATTAGATAAAGATTGAATAGCTAACATTCAGACTTTGGCTAATTGGGACGAATGTGTTAGGAAAAAACGAGACATAGAGAAAAAAGAGGAACAAAATAACAACACAAGAAATTAACATGGAAACTCTAAAACCGGAGAAAAAACCACGACTGTTGTCAAATGACAACCAGAGAATATCACTATGTGAAAATTATTTCATACATAGATAACCATTAAAACACCACAAGACCCTAATACACCCACACTCTCCAAAGTAAATATTTAATTGCTCTCACTACACTCTAAAACAAGAGTATAAAATAAAATAAAATAATCAAATACAAGCTTAAAGTGTTTATGATCGGTACATCTTATAAAGAAAAATTTGAATCCTATATATAGCCTTGGACTCCCTCTTCCTTTACAAAAACAAACAATGTGGGACTTCTTTAACATGTATATTTTCAACCAACCCCAACAATCTCCACCTTGATTGAAAATAATACATAAGCTTTCATGTTCTTCACCGACAATCATACATCATCATAAAGAGTATAGTCACTTGAAACTACACCACTCCAAGAATTTTCACATTATCTTCACCGACAATCATAATTTTAAAAAACTATCATACTCCACCTAAAGAAGAGTATACTTCACTTGAAGTTAAACCACTTCAAGAATTTTCACATGCCGAAAACCATGTTGAAACTTTATGGTGAAACTTCTATGTTGGTAGGAAGCTCTTCAACCACCGACATAATCTCGCACACTTTGTGTAAACTGATTGTATCAACACATCTTCGACTTGAATTTTCCACAATCCAAAATTGACTCTTCCATCGAATTTCTCTAAATCAATCTTCATTGCATTTGAAAAACTTGACATTGCAACCAAAACCTTTCCTGCAGTAAACCAAAATTTTCCCAACCAACAGAGTATAAAATTTATTTTCTGATGTGGAAGATCAGACAAAACTGCAACCACAGAGCATACTAAAATTTATACCCCACCAAACCAAGGCTCTTGATACCACTTATTGGAGAGTTCGGGAAAGTCGGAAGCACCAACGAGACCAATACTCCAGGACCACAAGAGAGAGAGAGACGTCACATCTCAATCCAAAATGGGTTATCTCTCTTATGAATCCAACATTTCACTCATTCATAGGTAATGTGGGACAACAACCACTCACACTTACACCTAATATTCTCCCCCACAAGTGTAAGTCTCCCACATCCTATAAAAGAATCCAACACTGGATCCAACTCCCGCTTTGATACCACTTGTTAGGAAAAAACAAGACTTAAAAAAAAGAGGAACAAAATAATAACACAAGAAATTAACGTGAAAATTCTAAAACCAGAGAAAAAACCACGACCGTTATCATATGATAACCAGAGAATATCACTATATAAAAATTGTTACAACATATAAACTACTTTTAAAACACCCCAAGACCCTCACCCACACTCCAAAGCAGTATAAGAGAAAATAAAATAATCAAATACAAGTTTAAAGTGTTTTTGTTTGATACATTTTGTAAAAACATGAATCCTATATATAGTCTTGAACTCCCTCTTTCTTTACAAAAACAAATAATGTGAAACTTTTTTAATATGTATATTTTCAACCAACCCAACAACAGAATGTAAACCCCAAGACAGAATGTAAGTCATGTGCAATTTTCATCAAACACTTTTGGTTTACTAAATGCAATAACTGCATGAAAACTTGATTGGAGTAACTTTAAGTCTGATATCATACAAACACTAGTCTAAGCAAGATCTCCGTTTTGAATTGCAAAGTGCTACAACATTTCTAAGTAATTTATAAAAGTAAATTATACATGAGTTTATTTATCCTATATCCTGCTACTACCGTATGAATTTTCTCCAGCTTAATCAAGGAAGAAATACAGTTTTTGAAGCCTCTAAATGCAGAAAAAGTGAAGATAATAAGACATATGCATCATATTTCATCCTAATATATATACAGAACAAGAGTAAATAGCATAGGTCACCTACTTCTTCATCTGTGTATATATATCATAGCAACTCTTATGCTTACATTCTCCCGAATGATAACATTTAAACATGCATGCAAATGTCAATTAGAATCATTCAGCTTTGACAGCAGAAAGAGACAACTTGAAGAAAGAAAGACAGAAGCACAGAAGCATAGCAAATCCACAGGAGTTTGTATAGTAGCCTTCTTGCTTCTGTCAAACAAACCAATCAGAAGCAGCATCACTATCACATGACCAACCTTCGTTTTCAGCTCATTCACTGTTTTTATATCCAACCATTTTGGTCTTTCCTGAGAAACACAAACATCAAGAGTTGTAGAATTGATTTTGACATGTTTAGATGTTATTCAGTAATTTTGTCACAAAGCAAACCTTCAAAGTGAATAAGCCAAATAGATTTGATCTGTCACAAGGATTTTGATCAGGCAGAGAGCTTGTGCTATCAAGGTTACTGACGAAGAGTTCATAGAGACCCATTCCGAACACCAGCATCACAGTTCCTAAAAGATAAACATCTGGATGAACAATGAAGGAAGTTAGAAAGAAGAGAAGCATAAAGAAATCCTCTAACAACAATAACAAAACTAGCACAATGAACAATGTGTTATATAGTTAAGAAATAGAACATAAAGGCAACTGAAAAAACGTATCAGTTTAACTTGAGAGACACTCACCAAGTGCTTCTATTAACATTTGCATTACTTTAGTGCGATTAACAGAGTATTCTAAGAAAGACCCTGCAACAAATGTGGTTCCCTGCATATAAAATTGAACAATGCATCAAAACAAAACTCAATTGGAACAAGTTATATAATCAGAAGTTGAATCATTCTAACAAACATGTCTTTTAGAAGTACAATAGTTTTACCTTGATGAAGCATAGAAATGATCCAATTAAAGACCCAAAAACTCCAAGAATAGCAAGAAACCGGCATCTATAAATCATCTACACAATCCATCACATAAAAAGTTATTCAGATAACCTATATTCAAAACCATTCAAATATAATAAACAATTCAAAACAATTTTATTCATTAAACATGACTTTGAATAATTGAATAAGCAAAAGAAACCTTCCAAGACTTGCAACACAAATCATTCATACCTTCTCAATGCCCTCCTCTATTCCTTCCATCTTCCCTGGCATCTCCTGAGACACAACAGAATCAAAACCAGAATTAGAAGCAACTAGCGGCGGCGACGAAGGATTCACAGCAGATGAAGAAACAGGAGCTTCTGAACTGCTGCTGCACACAAATTCTTGAAATCTGAGGCCTTTATAACCCAACACAGAGACCCTTTTGCCATATGAACTAAAGATAGAATTTTGACAGTGAACTAACGCTGGTGGTGTTGTAGAGAAAGGTATCCTAGCCAATGCCTGAGACAATTTCATGGTGAGGATTCAGAGTGTTGAGGTTGTTGGTTTGGAAAATATAGAAGATGTTTTGTGCGTGTATGTGGCTGAAAAGTATCAGTGTCAAACACACAAGGATGGAAATTTAACGTGAAATTGCCTTTGTCTGATTTGGTGCCACTAGTTATTAGGAGAGAATTGTGTGAGTCATTGTCTTGTTTTTCTTTTCTTTTTTTCCGACAAGTTATCATAAATATCTTGTTGGTTTTCTTTGACAAACGAACACATGTAAGGACACCAATTGTCTGCACTCATACTCACCATATATCTATGTCACACATGTGACACTCACAATTGCAATTTGTTAGTAAATTTGTAAATTGCACGAAAGAGGAGCTCTAATGTATAATTTTCACAGGAATAGGAGAGACTAACACAAAGATCATTGAGATTTTTCATGTTTCTTTTGATTTTTTTGAATAGTGAGAAATCACATTTGATAAGAGTATCTATTCTAGCAAATTGCAAATTTCAATGCTGGAAAAAAATGAAAGATCAAATAAACCAAGAATTTGATGTGGAACTAAAACAACAATGACACCTAAAATTTAAGTATCTCAAACAACAATAATATAAAGGTAGTTATATATATATATATATATACCACACTCGTTCACTTCAAAACCACATCAGTCATTCAAAAATGCAAACAAAACCACAACAATAGGAATAAAATAAAGAAAAAGAATACACATAAATAGTTATTTGGACTGACCAAAATAATCTCACATTATTTAGGAATTAAAAATAATCTCACATTATTTAGGAATCAAAGGTAAAGGTAGTTATATATCACACTCATTCACTTCAATTCAATAAAGTGTATTTTTTAAAGGACAAAGTCGTGAGAATTCTTACACCCAAAACTATAATGTTTTATAGTCGCAGGAATGCACGTCGCATGTGCGAACCACATATTTCACGTGTTTTTAACGTGTGCACCCCATGTATTTGGAAAAAATGGGGGAATTTCTTTAAAAAAAACACGCGCCTCGAGCGCCTCTGCATGTGTCGGGTGCATGAGGCATGGTCGAATGATCTTTTTTTTTGTTGAAAAACTAAATTCTTAAAACATACTCCACAAGTCTTGTCTCAAAAATGATAACGCTGACAATTTATCCACTAACCACTTAGATGCTTTCTCCAAACTTGAACCATTCTTCAACAAACTTTCTCTAGGAAATGGCTTGGTGAACACATATGTTGGATTATCTTCTAAAATAATTGTTTCCACTATAATATCCTTCGACTTGATCATGTCTCTTGAGTTTACTGATCTCTTATTTGTTAGGGTTTGTCATCAAAATAGTATCAACATATGAAATAAGGTAGAAAATGACTTCCTTATTCTAAATCAATATGTATACACAACTATCAAAACCACTTCTCATAAAACCATTCTTAAGAGGAAATTCATTAAAACAAAGACATCATTATATTGTGTTTTACTTTAACTCATACAACTATTTCATTAGTAAACACGCCTTAAATTTGTTTTGAATAAAACTTTCAGGTTACTCCATGTAGATTGTCTCTTCAAGCTCTCCATGTAAGAAATTCGTTTTGACATCCATTTCTCCAAACTAAGATTATATTGATTCACAATTGTCTAAAGTACCCTTGTTAAAAATATTTATCGTCGGTGAAAAGATTTCATTGTAATCATTTCTCTCCATTTGAGGAAAATCTTTTTCTACACACCTCGATTTATACCTTGGTTCTTCAATCCCCATAATAATTTCTTTCTTCCTGAAAATCATGCAACCATCTTCTATCTCTCAAATAGTCTCACAAGTTCTAAATTATGGTTCTTCCTCTAATAAATGCACCTCATTATTCACAACTAGAGTCATCTTAAGTTTTTGGAAGTCTTGTGTAGATTAGTTGTAGTTTAATCATGACAAAATAAATCGAGGTTATATATAACTATGATTTAACCCCTGAAATCATTTTATGAAGTCCTATTTAGCCATATTTTAACAATGACAAATTTTGGACCATGTATGACTTTCAACCTTGTACGACCTCAAAGACGACCTATTCACAACCTTCTAATTTTTTATTATTTTTATTTGGAATGCCTACTTAAAGATCTTTGGCTCGGATTCTTACAATCCTTCATCCACATTCAAATCATAACAAATGAAATCAGTATAACCATATTTTTCATGTGGTATAATCTCTTTTTGTACTCTATCATGTCAGTTAATAATCTAGAGTCATTGTAGGTTGTTCTCATCATATCTAATATCATGAGTAGTAATCTCCACCTTAAACCGAGTCATATCCACCTTAGTATCTAACTCTTTCACTTCTAGATATTCTCACTTCATTCTCATACAAGCCTCATTAAAAGTAACACCCCTGCTTATAATAAATTTGATCTTTCAGATTTCATACTCTAAAATTTGAAACTCTTCACACCTTCAAGATGGAAAATGAAGAAATGCTTCATAACCCGGGCATCAAGTCTGTCTTGCTATATATGGGAAAATGCTAAAGCTCTGGAAAACTTTAAATTAAATTAGTGTATTAGTTTCTACTCCAAAAGACTATTATTCTATGAAACTTCACACTACTCAACAAGCATGATTTGGATCTTAATGACCATAATATATAAAATAAGTTGAGATCCTAAGTTACAAATTCCTAAATAATGAAAATTGAAATGATAAACATAAGGAAGCACTCTAATCACTTGCAATCTCTCATCTGTAAATGAACCTTGTTGTCTCACCTCTTATCTTTGGATTCCATTAGAACTGGTGTGGGGTATAAAATGAATATTGCATATTGTTGTACCCCAAAATTTTCCCTCTCATTTCTCAAGACATTTCTTACAAAGATCTTCAAAAGCTCAAGTTTGCAGAAGGGTTGACTAGGTTAAGACATCTTCTAAACATTGATGCCTCAAATTAGGGTTTTGATTTTCACAAGGACAATTGAACTTATAATGCCTCAAATTACTTGAATAGATCATTATAGACCTCCAAGAATACGCATCTCAAGTTTTAAGTCTTGAATCACAATTTTGCTCAGTCAATTGCTTAGATAACTGAAAATCAGTTGTATTGGATAAAAAGTCAATTGTGGTCAACTTACAACCAAACTTCAATATTTTTGACCAATATTAACATTTTGAAGTCATATGCATCAATTTATCAAGTTTGGATCACAATTCCTCAAGAAAAATGTTCAAATCATCAAAAGGGCAAAATGGTCAAAATTAGGGTTTTGACTGAGAATGACTGATTCATGACTTTTGACTTAATACATGACTTATTGGTTTGAAACATGATATCAAGGATTCAAGGACATCATCTTGACCTAATTACATGACTCAATTCATCTTTTAAGATCAATGGATTAATAGTTAAAATTTGATCAACTGATGAAAAGTCAATTAATGCACAAAAGTCAAACTTTGACTTTTTGGTCAAGATTTAATTGCAAAGATCACATTTCATCAAGACATTCAAATATATGAAGCTTTATCATCAAGAAATCAAGAAATTCAAAAGTCATGTGAAAAGTCAAACTTTTCAAGACTTGGAAATTTTTTCTAAGTGTTTTTATACATGATAATTTCATTACTTCATGTCAATCTTTCACCAAGATAGAAAATGATTCAAAGAAAACTTTCAACATGAAAGTTGTAGATCTTGATGAGATCTACAACTTTTCTTTGTTGATCAAGTCCTAGAAGTGCTTGTATTTTGAGTTATAAATTCCTAAAGTTGTGAAATTTTTCATAAAACACTTAGAGAAATTTTCAACAGGTTTTGGTCAGTTTTTACCTCAACTTCTTGGCCAATTTTCATCAAGTTGAAATTTGATTTAGCCAAAGTGGCCAACATGAAAGTTGTAGACAACTTTTCAAGCTTTACAAAATTTCCAAGAGCATGAATTTATCATACTTGAGCTGGGAGATTTAAAGGCATGAAGTTGGGTATCCATTCTTGAATTTCAAATCATTTTTGGTGTAGAACACATAATCCAATCTACATGCTATGCTGCATATTCTTGAGTTACAGGCCTTCTAGCTTGCCAATCTCATCATAATTTAATGCTTACACCTACTCTTGAGCTATTACCAAAGTGTTTGAGTCATTGTCCAAAAGATCTTTCCATTTATGGCATAAAGGCACCATTGCTATTCTTGAAAAGAAAGCTTTTGGTACAAAATTTGTATTAAGTCCATACCTTGCTTACTTCTGATTATACTCCACTATAAATCATGGAAAGTATCCCCTCTATACCAGCAACATTTGTACTTCATCTTGGGACCATAGAAGACTTGGCATAACTTGAAATTTGTATTCCAACCAAACCATAACTGGTTATCTTGCAACTCTGATTACTTCAACTTCCCAAACATTTCATCTATAAATAGATAGTTCATTTTCAAGCTAAAAAGGTCATCTTCTTGTGTGTTGAAAAATCCTCAAACCTCCCTTATACTCTAAAAACCAGAATTGTCCACAAAAACCTCCATTTTCTGAGTTTTGAAACAAAATCTCTGAATCTCTCAAACCTTGCAAATCTTGTCCCAACAAACTATCCAAATACTTCATATAAATCATATAGAAGTTGTTCAAACACAAGAGAAACTTCTATAACATCACTATCACCATGTTCCAAACTCAAAAACAACCTTCTGCAACTTGACTTCTCTAAGACAATACAACAACTCTAAGTCAAAACATGAATTTCAATTTCAAGGTAAGTTTTCTTGACCTTTAAACTCTTCATACAAGCATCATTAGTGGTTCATTTGTGATGATAAAATTTAGATATCATTTCCCTGAAGCTAACCATATGCTTACTTTTCATTTTCACTAACCATGTGTTGAGAACTGACTTATATATGTGACAAAATGATTTTAGAAGTTAAAAACAACAGTATGAGTCGATGCATATCTCTATGAGTTGACTCATATTAGGTACAAAACACATTATGAGTCGATATAAGGCATTAT